GGGATTATAGGCATGAGCCACCACTACAGGAAGCTATATCTATTTTTTAAAATTCCTTGAAGGTTGTTAACCTCCTGTTTGCTATCCAAGGCTTTGGTGGACAAACTTAGTCTCTTTCTTAACCCAGAACAATAGTTCTTTAAAACACCAAGGAAATCAGTTAGCCCATTCTCCAGAGCTGGGAAGCCTTTGTGGAACTAATGACCTCCTCAGGTGTGTGTTTCCTAGGAAGGGTGGGTGGCTGCATGTTTCAATTTTTGACTAGAGTTGCTAGCTAATGAAAAAGTGTTAAGGAGTTAGTTTATCTTAACCATTTTAAGACTATGTATCTTTTTGAACACCTGATAGAAACCATGGACTTTGCCAAAATTTATAAACAAATACATAGGTTTCAAGGACCTCTGAGACTTCAAACTATCATGGAGAGTTTACTTGTTTGCGCTGGCTTGTTAGAAATAGCAGAGATTAGAGGTGGGGCAGGGGTCTGAACAAGAAAGAGTGAGGGTGCTGGTTAAACTCACTCCAGAGAACATTATTCACTCTGTGGCCTAGAGAGAGGCTACTTCCAGCTCATAAACTTCTGCTGCCATTCCATGACATTGTATGTGCAGAAAATGATGTGACTTTTAAAACTTGGGGTAATCATTGGAACATAGAAAGCACAAAAAATGCAGGTTGGCTTTAGGTAAAGAGAACACTATCAAAGAGTGACCAATGGTGGCCATCCTGGGAAGGCCCCGAAGAATGAGAAAAAGCCTCTAATACACCCCATGTCTAGATGGTCACAGAATCTTTGACATATTCTACCTGGTTGCCCATTGGCTATCTGCACTGAGGGTGCATGAAGGTACTGTCTTGCACTTTTCACCTCAGGATGTCAGAAAGTATTCAGAACAGTCCTCACAAAAGCCTGAGATGCAGCCATTGAATCCTCCTCCTCCTCAGAGCTCTGTCTCAGGCATTCATTTATTTTTCATGACAATCTGAGGGCCAGACCCTGTGTCACAAATGCTCAGAGAGGCTAAGGGATGGTAGGAATAGAAAGAGTAGCAGTAGTGAATATTTACTGAGTCCTTCCGACATTTAGATTTCGTGCTCATACTTTGAATACGCATAAACTCCTGTCATCCTCACAGCAATTCTCATGATGTAGGCATTAGCACCTTCATTTTACAGACAGAGACCAGGGTGCAGAGAAGTTAGGTGACTCAGTGACTAATGGCAGATTTGGAGCTAGGACACAAATTCTGTCTGCTACAATGACTCCGTTGCCGAATACTCTGCTATGTTGTAAAAGAGCAACACCCCTCACAGCATACAGAGCCAGTTTATGCAGAGGACTTCATCCATCTTGTCCATGCTGGGACACTCTGTTCTTGTAATCAGTTCCTCTGAGTCTTCATAACTGGAAACCCACAGGATCTTTTTACATTCTGTACTCACACTGGGGAATCTTAGTAAAAAAAAAAAGTCTATTCATCATCAGATACTGTAGCTCTGAGGCACATGAATCCTGGGAGAGTTGGGAGAACAGGACAAAACTGAAGATGAAGAAAGGGTTTCGAGTAGACACAGAAACACTACAGTTCTGATTTATTTGATATTGCTGAAGTAAAATGCAACATGTTGTTTATGGCTGGTTTGAAGCCTGTGTCATACCATGTTTTATGATTCAAATGAACAAGGTAGAGAAAAGTTCCCAAAGGAAAAGTGAACAATTGTTTTGGGCTACAGGACTTTAGTTACATGGTGAAGCCTATCTGTTTGATGGTAGAATCATTAAGTTGCCTATGGTCATGTATTGAAACATGTTTTAGTGGCTTCTAAAAGAAATCTGGAATGCCTTTTATTTACCAAAAATCCTTTTGTAAAAATGTTCATGACACTGAACTGTTCCTGTCACCAGTGCCATAGAGGCTGTGAAGACTGTGAGCGAGGCCTGGATTGTCAAAGGCTGGTGAGGTGGTCAGTCCCTGAGATAACTCAGTAGACACAGAAATGGTTTTCTGGTGGTAATAATGATGACATACATGTTTATACTCTGGAAGCTGTTAGTTTTCACTTCTTAAGAAGGTCATGGCTCTGGAGACATAGAGTGACTTGGATGCTTTTTGATAAACCACGCTTTATGAACTTCCTTATCTTGGCCCTGACAAGAGTGACCTTCAACTGCTCTGGAGAGAAGTCTATATACCAGTCTGAAATAAAATCAACAAAAATGGGACTCAAACTGTGTGTGCATTCAAAGTCTTGTAATGTATGTTTCCATATTAACTTTTTTCTTTTTTTGAGTTGGAGTCTTACTCCGTTGCCCAGACTGGAGTGCAGTGGTATGCTCATGGCCACCCCAGCATCAACCTACTGGGCTCAGGCAATCCTTCTGCCTCAGCCTTCCAAGTAGCTGGAACTACAGGCTCGCACTACCACCCCCAGCTAATTTTTTTAAAATTTATTGTAGATATGGGGTCTCATCAAGTTGCCCAGACTGGTCGCAAACCCCTGGGCTCAGGCAATCCTCTTGCCTTGGTGCTGGGATTAGAGTGCCTGGCCCAATATTAACTTTTTAAAAATAAGTACGTATCAGTCATCTAGGTTCAAAACTCTAGATCACTGTGAGCTAATATCTAGCACTCAGTACAGCTCCCAGCACATATGAACTCAAGAAATATTTGTAGAGCAAATGCTGTTAAGTTATTTCTCACTTGGTCCTAATAAAATTCTAAAATAAAAGTTTCATCAAAAATTTAAATTTTTAATTGTTAATTAGCATAATTAGTTGTGTGCTTTGGAGATCCAGTATACTTATAATACGAAATCTGTTGAATATGCAGTATCCACTATTTATTCACTCATATTAAAAATATTTAATTTTTAAAATATCTGTAACATACTGTGTACAGCGAATATCCTTTAATTCAATTGTTATAAAACTCTAAATAAAAGTCTAGAAATGAATATGATTCCATGCTTTATTTGTATTTTACTCAATTATGTACTATGTTTTTAAGTGGCACTAAAACGTCAACGTTGAATATGCTCAGACAGAGCTAACAAATTCATATTGAAAGTGAATTAGCCCTAAAGACTGAGCAATGCTGCAGGTGGGTTGTTTTGCATTAGTCTTGGGGATGTGCTCTTAGATTGTGTGTTTCCTGTAGGACTTCAGTCATGGGGTCTTTTGCACGGGTCTATATTTTAGTTCTGACAATACCCTAAAACTTTGGTTTTAGGTAGGGTGACCATATAATCTTTTTTCCCAAAGGGGGAAATTTTGGGAGTGAATAGGGTACTATTAATAATCATGCCAGGGCGAGGCACAGTGGCTCACACCTGTAATCCTAGTGCTTTGGGAAACTGAGGCAGGAGGATTGTTTAAGGCCAGGTGATCAAGACTAGCCTGGGCAACATAGCAAGACCTCATATCTACAGTAATAATAATAATAATAATAATAAATTAGCCAAGCATGGTTACATGTGCCTGTAGTCTTATCTTCTTGGGGAATTGAGGAGGAAGAATTGTTTGAACCCAGGAACTCAAGGCTACAGTGAGCTATAATTATGCCACTGCACACAAGCCTGGGTGACAAGAGTGAGACCTTGTCTCTAAAAGTAAAAAAGATTTTTAAAAATTATGCCAGTGCAACAGATGTTGGTGGGGCTCTTAAAGGCAAATGAGGTAATAAGGTCAGCCTACTTACCAGGAAAGGACACAGGCTGAAGGATCAGTATTGTCATACATCAGCTGCCTTACTATGTGAAGTCACTTCTCCTTGCTGGGGTTTCATTTTATTTGGATGAAAAGTAAAAGGGTATACTAAAATGAACCTTATTTTCTTCAAATTTTACATTTCTATGATTACAAATAGACTCAAAAAAAAAAAAAAAAGGATTTCATTGCATCTTTGAAGCAGTTTCAAACTAAGAGGCTGCTGACTAGACAAGCACATGAAACACTCCCCCCTCCCCTTTTAAAACTACCTAATTACAAAAGCTTATGTTATATTTAAAATAAATCAACACTTGCTTGCTTCAGGGTTGGCAAAAATTTCATCTGCACTACCTGAAGCATTATGTTGAGAAGGATGCTGAGGACATATTTGGGCTCAGCAGACAAAACAAACAAACAAAAAAAACCAACCCTTGATCCCTTAGTGATGCCTTCTGGGGTCATGGGAACAGCAAAGGGAAGCAGGAAGAAGTAAGGTACTAGCAGATGCATGTATGACGTGCTACATGCACACCAGCCACAACTGCCGAGGTCTCTAGTTACAACGCAAAGCAAAAGACATCCTCTTATGTAGGGCAAATCTGCCACATGTCCATAAGCCCAGAGATCTCCTCCCCCTTCTGGCTCTCAAAACACCTTCATGTGCACCTCAGTTGTAGCGCGTAGGAGTGGGCCTCAACCTGATCTCTATGCTGAGGTCCAGTCACTAGTGTCTTTAGCCTCTTCCCACAACCAGGAATTAACCTACAGCCTCACCAAGAGTTGCAGGTATGCAGCTCATGGGAGAAAAGGGCCAGGATGCCCAGATTCCAGTTCTTGTTCATTATTAAGGCTGTGTGACCTTGGATGTGCTGTGTGACTTATCTTGTTTATAAAATGAATTTGGACTCTTTGGTGTTCTCTAGTTTCAACTTGCTGTGACTGGAAAAAAAAGAGGAGGAAAAGAATAACTTGGTGTGTTAATTCAGATAACGCAGATGTCCCCCTTTTGGTAAATTTAAGGAGAGTTGACTGTTGACAAGAGATAGTCTACAGCAATTGATCAAACATGTATCACTTTTCCTCACACGAACATAACAACTTCTCAAAAGAGGCAGCTAAGTTATATGACACCATTGTTAGAATCTTTCTTCTAGGTTGTTCTCCGATTGTTTTTAAACACTAGAAACCCATAGTCTCAATTTATTACTTTCGCTGCATTTTTTCATTGCGTGCACCCCTGACTTTAGCAGATCTTTCGGTATTCCTGCTGTTCAGTAATTTAACATCTCACCTGAGTGACAGCAACATTTGTCCCATCGGTGACTTCCACACTCATATTATAAATGGACCTCTGCTCTGCGTCCAAAGGTTTTGCGATGACAATTGTCCCAACACCTTTCTCTGCGTCAAAAGAGCTGTCAAAATTCCCCCCTGATGATTTCACAGAAACAACATGAAATTAGCATATCTGAGAAGTTATTACATGTATTAAAGCATATATCTTTAAAGGGAGCTCTTACATGGAAATATTTTTGACAGGTGTCCCTATGGCTCAATTTTGTACATCTTAAATGGGATCTCTTTATTTCTAACTTAATTCATATTTCAAAAGACAGCCTCTACAGCGTATAACAAATGTCACCAAGAAAGAATGAATTGCAAAGTAAAACCTCAGCAGTAATGTTAGAGTAGTGAAGCATCAATGACTCCATAAAATATTTAGTAAGAAACCAAAAGGCCCCCTAACTCCTGTGGCTTCTGTGTTAGAAATTTGTAGATATTTTTGTTTTTTCCAAAGTAGATTAAATTCTAAGTAAACAAATAGTCATAAAATGAGTAGACATTTAAAATCTGTTCCAGGATTGATGGTAAACATTTTGCTGTTAGAATTCAGATTCCCTCAATTAGATGTCAGAAATAAAATTATAAATTCTAAAAAGTCAGAAAAAGCAAAAAAATTTAAATGTCATATTAAATGGTCTGTATCTGCAAGTTGTAATGTTTATAGAAATCCTTATTTTGCCAACTTGACTGTAAATTATTTTTCTCCTATAAAAGTAGCAAGTTTATGGGAGATTCACAAAACGAAACTGGGAAAAAAGGCAAGGGAAAAATCAGCTTATGTAATGCCAATGTATGAAACAATGTTTATAGAAGTTTCAAAAACTATACTTTCCCCCAAGCCAGGGATAGTTCCATCTAACGTTGGTGTGCTTTAGAGAACACTGCCATTGCTGAAATCTCAGCGGATCAACTCTGTGGACCAGTGTGGTTTATGATTTTTCTAAATGAAATATAAATATAAATATTTTAAGGGAAAGAGAAGATAATGCTATAAATGCTGGAATAATTTTAATTAGCCATGAGTACATGTTCACAAGCTTTATTTATTTGAATCTGACATTTCACGGTATTGGCTTTGTTCTTGGACAGTAATTTTATAAAGCAATGCATTTAATGAATTTCATATTTTAGAAAAGTAACTTCGATTTTTCTTATATTCTGCATTCTTTGTATTTCATTTTGCTGATCAACGAGCAACACATGTCTCTTTTATTATAATTATAAATGAGAGATCAGTTAAGAGAAAGGAAATTTTACCTGAAGTACTAGAAATGGATGTACAGTGACATGAAATAAATAATATGGTTTAAATAAAACACCCCTAGCCACATATATTTCAAATACTTATTGCTTGCAGCTGTTACATACACTTAAGATTATTTAATTGCAAGAGAGAATATAATTGCCCTTGACATTTAATTAAAGTTATGGAGATACAAGGGTACCAGAGAATTGCGTGGAGATTATATACATTTTCAAAAATTTCATTTGAAAACATCTCATCTTCCAATTAATATCTTTAATTGATTTACTGAGAAGCACTAAATGCTATCTGAAAAAACATCTTTGGAGAATAGGATGGGGGGGTCTCTGCTGAGAAGGGAACCGAGCCTCAGGTTGCTAATGCTTATCCAAAGGGAGTGTCCCCTGTTGATAACCCGTGAAATAAGATGAAAGGCCGACTCAAGTGTCTTTACAACCATCTTCTCAGTAAAGAAAAATCATTTGCTATCAAGTGGTACATCCTGGAAAAAACTCTGCTATAAAAGCTTTCAGAGAAAGGACATAAAAGTGTCTCATAAGACGTGCAGGAGGAAAGAAGAAAATGCAGCTTCTCAAGTTGTTTCTGGTGGCTATTACATCACATTTAGAATCATCTTTAGAATGTTTTCTTCACTGAGATTTTTACTTTCTTAAGTCTGAGGACCAAGACTTTTTGGGGGTTTGGGGGAAGGAGCCCCCCTCCAATGTGGATTATTTTAGAATGTGAAAATGTGTAGGTCAAGGCAAAATAAAAATTATGCAATTTATAAAGCTCCAGTTTGTTCCCTTTTAAAGGTTAGTGGATAAAATGCAGAGAATGGCAAGTATAGAGTTAGGTTTCAGTTGCTGCTTGAATGGGGCGCTCTCACTGGCTCTCTCTCACTGTTTGGACTCACATTTTCCTAAGGGCCCTGTTCAGAAATACATAATCATTTCATGGGCTTAGTGGCATACAATTTACTATTTTACATGTGTCATATAGATTGTGTGCTTTTTTAAAGTTATTTTTTCTATCAAATAACATTTTTGGCTACTGTTATAGCTGCCATTTTCTACAGTTCTTTCTTCCTGTATCCGTGTCTCTGTGTGTGTGTTTGTGTCCCTCATTCACCTTTACTGTTTAAAATACTCTAGACCAGAAGCCTCTAAAGGGACAGAGGGACAGACTATTAGAAAAGCAGAGCAAAGAACACTTGAGAGGGAGTGTAAAGCTATCTTTCGGTCTACAATGTAGCTAGCAGTCTCTCATACTCATTTCCAGGATATTTGCTCCTAGTTAAACTGAGATTTCATGTAAAACAAAATCTTCCCTGAGTTTTAAAGTGAATTTCTGACAAGGGACACAGAATCTAGACCAGCAGTTCACCATCAAGCCTCACACAGTTTAACAACCCACCACTTAACCATCCCATTTCACAAATGACTCCAGATCTCTCCCCCAGGTCTCATTTTTCAGGTTCCCTTTTAGCCTAAAAGGTGATTTCATTTTTTAGGAAACCATGTCCAAATCATCCAGGGTGAGAATATCAAATGCAAGGAGTCCATTTTCACTAGCAGCATTCCAGTTAAACAAGGTGTGCTTCCTCAGAGCCAGTAACAAAGCATGCAAAGCCAAAGTGTGCTGGTGCAGCAGCGTTAGGCTAAACACAAGGTGGGGGTGGGGAGGGAGGACACCACCGAGCTGGCCTGAGTTTCCACAGAGTGGGGAACTGGAAAAGTCACAGCCTGAGCGTTGCTGCAGGGGTGTGCGGCAGAGATGGGTAAAAGCAAGGTTGTGAACAGCCCACATAACAGATAATTCACATCAGGGACATTTCCCTTGGACCATTTGTGGTCAAGACAGGTGTGTTAGACTCAACAAAGAGCAGAAGAGGCACATTAGATTTCTACTGGATTCTAAAGTTAAACTTAGCAAGTGGAAATGTCCTCAGAGGCTTAAAAATGGGACATGGCTGAAAATACTTGGAGCCAGCAGTCGCTGCTTAACTGTGCTGGGCAGCAAACCACCGGGCCATGATTTAAATATCTCTAAAGAGATCTGATGGTGAAAATCACACAGCTTCCCTATTAGAGAAGCCTCCAGGACCCTCCCCTAGCATATGATTCCATTCCACTCCACGTGTAATTGTAAGAAAACCAACCCACATCTAGTAGTCACCAAGGGCGGGGGAGGTGTGATGTGAGCAGCTTCCAGAACACCGAGCTGCTGAATCTCAATGAATCCAGGGAGATGTGCACAAGCTGTTCGCTGAACCTCATCATGTACACCAAACTTAAGGAGAAAGGCTAAACACCAGGGACAGCTTTCTCATGGGTAATGTTCTGCCTTGGAGTGAAAGCAAGCACAGTACCTGGCTGAAAAGGGTATTTACATGGAAGGCCGGAGACAACAGGTGGAGGTCAGAAAACAGTGGTTGGAAGGAAAATCACTTCTAAATCTAGTTTGAAATTCATTTTCTCACAATAATTAATAACATATGAAGTGTTTTATTATTTCCCTGGTCTCACCAGATGTGTTCCTATGGACTGGATTGTTGCTATGGAGAAAAGAGAGGTCTAACTGGGATGAAATTAGGGAAGTAGGGTGGGATAAAAGAAGTGATGTCAACCAAATGACTTGGAGTAAGAGTCGCCCTGGTAAGTACAGTTATGTTAGAAATGGTACATGAACATGGTTTCTCTCAGGAGCGTTGGCTCAGTGTTTTGTGTTAGAGAAATGTGACCACCTAGGGAGGGATGACTCAGAGATGCCCAAGATCTAGTCAGAGGACAAGGCCACTGCTAGTGCTATGAGGGTTGAACTCACCTACTTGATCCAACCCTAGTAAGCAATGGGGATAGGTTCATGAAGGACAGGCATAAGCTTATGAGATGGTGGCAGCCAAGAGCCAACGTCTGCAGAAACCTATGACAAACAAAGGGTCAAAGTGGCCCCCATGTGTCTCCAACACAGAAAGGTATTTCAGTTAGGGTGGGACCTACATACTGGCATTCACCACCAGAGAGTTATTTTCAAAGAGAAACCTTTTCCTTTTCCCAGTGAGTGAGGTAGACAAAGGTGTTTTAGGAGTTTACTATCTACAAGGAAAACCATTTTCTAGCCTAAATCAGGTGAAAAGCTAAAAAATAGGTGGAAAGCCCTCATCCATCTGTGGGTAAAGAGGAATTGTTTAAAGTGTGTAATAAAGGTAGCCTATTTAAATATTTGGAGTTGGGATAAAGATACAGGGAGTGAACTGTGAACCAGATTGCATGTACATTAGAGAGTCTGCAAATTGAGGAGCTGTGGAGTTGAAATCATAGTCCCCTGAGAAGTGTGAAGATATGTGATAAAGCCACAAAGGATTATGGGTTATTTATGTTCCCTTCATTTTCTTTCCCTTTTAACACAGAGAAGGAACATGCTGTGCGTTGGGCTGTTCAAACACAGAACAGCTGAACTTTATTATGTTTCCTTTTAATTACAGTTTTCTTAATTCAGTTACAAGTGGGGCTTCCATTTCTGGAAGCTGAAGAGAGTGTAGATGCATGGCATCATAAGCAGTGGTCTCTCTGGAGGCACAAGAAAGTGTCTGGCAGATCCCTGATGCAAGGGTCCAGGCTTGGGAACAAAATCCTGCTCATCACAGAGTGTTTGTGAATTCATTTCATGGTGGGAAGAGAAGAAATGCAGTTAAACAAGAACTGGGCAGATTTGGAAATGTGGAAATTAGGAGACTCGACTCTCAGGGGGAAAAGCAGGCTGAAATACCATTTCTGCTCACTTAATGAGAATTCATTAGTTAGAGCATTTGTAAGCTGCAAAGGCCAGGCCAGAATGTTGTGTTCTCTGTAGCAGTGTCAGACTGGGTGTTTGAATGTACTAGATCTATAATAGAATCAAATCTCAACTCTCTCTGGAAGAGTTATAAGAGTATGTATGCAGGCAAGGCCCGTACTTTAACCAGAAACCTCATTTCAGATCCATGCTGATATTATATGCCTTGTGCCTAGTCTTAGTGTTTACCTATAGTCCACTTCTGACTGTCTTAAGCATTGAAGGGCACTGTTCCTTCTCTTTCTTCTTTATGTTAGCTTCACCAAAGCACATGCTTAGGTGAGGAAGAAGGGAAAGAGATAAGAGTTCATGACCAAAGATAAGTAAGCAAGAAATCTTGAAAGCAAGAATGAAGCATCTGAATATAATAAAGGATTATATTATATTATAATAAACAATAGATATCTAGAAAAGAGAAAAAATGTTGTCAGCAGACTGAGAAAAAAATGTCTCTGATAGATTAGAAATATTTTGGAAAGGGGGATTTGGTAGAAGGGGGACCATATCAATCCTGAAAGCAACTAGCACCTGAGAAAATAATTTTGCTTCTGCGGTGAAATACAGAGTGGGTGTTTCAGAATGCTGCTGGCTGAATGTGGGGATGGAAATAAAATCATGTTCTGTTTGGGCATCTGGCCCAGTAAGTTCAACTTGGAAAATAAACTTGGCTAGTTGTTACCAGATTTACAGTGAAATCTCTGTGACAGAAGCAACCAGAACAGAGGACAACCCTGCATGTCTTCATTAAGCAAACTACTCAGTGCCCTGAAACCACAGGGATTCTATAGAAAAAGTATAGTGTTTAAAATCACAAAGATGGAGAAACCTGAAAGCTGATGCCACATTCTTGAAAATGTAGCTTAAAAAGACTCCTTCAAGGGAGGGCTCCCATCTATAATCTGTCCCTCTCTTCTGGGACCAGAGACTTTCTTATTTTGTCAAAGGTACTAAGGTTGCCATGGCTAGCAGCCCAGTGGAAGGTTACACTGACTTTAGGTAGGGTCAGCATATTGGCTGCCTGAGGCATCTCCATCAGCTACCATCGTTTATTCCACTCGCCTGGGTAGACAGTGACAGAAGCATTGGCAGGAGGAAGAAATGAGGAGATGGGCCTTGACCTTATGGGTTAAAAACAGAGACAGGAGAAACACAAATGAAAACATACAACAGCACTCATAATGCTGGCATGACCAACGTGTAAGTAAGCTTACATGCAGTACTACAAGGCATGCTCACCTACACACGACCAAACGCACGTGCAGGAATGAAATGCTGAAGAGATGCAGACCTGACCTGGACACCTGGAGAGAAAGGTATGCTTCTAGAATTCCTAAAGGGAGGACAAGCAAGGGCATCCTTGTGCACTTGGGTGGTTGCTGGGATGTGCTGTGGGTCAGTAGGCACATGCACAGATCATGAGGTGACAGACGTGGCACCGTCAGGCTGTAGGGGTACTCAGGAGGCATACATGCATCATGGGGGGCAGACATGGCACTGTCCAGCTGCAGAGCCAGGAAGGAGGGAGATAAACTGGTAGCTGGTGAGAGAGGGCATCTCCCCTCAGTACAGTACACTAAGCATCCTGTTGTCTATTTGGTTTCTTCTTTAGGCTATTTAAAATAACTCACCACTGCACATGTCCCTAAAGATCCAGCCCCAGGGACGCATGCTAAAAACAGAAATGCAGTTTCTGGGACTCTGATTGGAGGGGTAATGAAGGAATCACCAAAGGTGAAGGATGTGTGCCACCTTCTACTGTACCAGGAAGGAAGAAATGACCTCAGATAAAATCCAAAGTGATTTGGAAACTACTAGGAAGATGAAGAAGTGGAGGCATCTTTTCTGGATCAGAAGAGGCTCCATCTCAAATATCAGAGGTGGAGATGAAAAAGGCATTGAGACTTGGTGTGAGGACGGTCAAGAACAGGAATGGCATGATTAACACTCACGAAGTAAACAAAGATGCTCTACTATCATTCTGTCCAATAAAATACGTAGGAAGCAGACTCCTCTTTGGGGATTCAGAGAACTCTCTACTGAGATTTGACTGAGGACAATGGGATGTTCTTTTCTTATGCCTCATCAACATCAATGTGGAGCTTTCTAAATGCTTCCCTGGACACAGTCATCCCTCCCTGCAGAAGAGGTAGGCTCCTACCCCCTACATTTCCCCCATCCAGGCAGTGACACGTGGAGGGAAACGACTCCTCAGATCAGCCTGCCCAGACTCCCTGCCTCCCACCAAGAAGAGTCAAAGTCAGCCCCACTGGCAGATCTGGCCACACACGCGTCCCCTCTCAGTATAGCCTGTCTTGTTTCCTCACACTCATTTCCTCCCAGTGCCTCTCCCTGCCAGTTTGCTGAGGGCCACAGTGCCGCTCTGCCGTTTCTTTTTGCAGCCGGTGTGCTTGCTTGCTTTCTTCCAAGGAGTTTAAGAGCTGGCTCCCAGGTCTGTCCTGCATACTTCCATCTGCTTCTCTATTCAGCCTGTGAAGCCAACTGACTATGTATCTGGGTTCCATTTCCTGCCCTTCCTTGCGTGGACAACAACCAGGGGCCTCTCCTGACAGGGCCTTCTTATAGGAATGGCACTACTACTGCAGAACAGAGGAGCTGGAATGCGTTTAATTTATTTTTCAATGGGAAAAGGCCCAGTTAAATAAACCAACCTACAAAAAGATAAAAACAAAACAACAAAAAGCCCACATACTTCAAAAGCAAAGAAAAAAATCAAAACAACCCCCCCCCAAATCCAAACCCCATTAACCCTCAAACAAAGGAGTCATTGGGCACAAGGAATGCAATAGCTGTTGGGGGCATGTATGAGCTCTGTGGGCTGCACTTCAGCCTGTCACAGGCAGTCATGAAAGATGTAATTCAATTTGCTTAAAAAAACCCATAAGAGGCAGATTGGATAGCTGTATTTTAGCAAATGTGTTTGCACTAAGGGTACCTTCTGTTGAACAGTTCTGCCCACAAGCTGTCTGTAGAATATAGAACATCTCTCGAGCATGCTTGCCACCTTGAAGCAGGGCAGTCGGGAGCAGAAAAAAAAAGAACAGAATGCAGAAAAGAGGTGAAGAAAAAGAGAAATGAAGGACAGCAAGTCTAGTACCATCAATACATTTAGAAATGAGATTAGCCAAGTGTGACCATAGAATTTAAATGACACACGAAAAGACATTAAGGCTGCAATAAATAACATACTATGGAAAATCCAGCCAGAGAGCACTTTCTGTTCAGCTCAGCTACAGAGTCGGAACGAAAGCACAGGTCGGTTATTTATTTACTGGCTCTTTTGCATCCCAGCACTCTCCATCTTTTAATCCTAATGTTAATTGTTAGTTAGCTTTTTTCTTTCTTTTTTTTTTTTTTTTGCAAGTTGCTCCAGTCAATTATTACATTACACAATACTACTCTGGAAGACTCGAACTTACCAACTATGTCAAACCACAGAGGGGTGTTAGCTGGCTGCACAGACACCACCCCCACAATCTCAGTTACTCTATCGTTTTCCATGACTGTGAAGTTATAAAACGGCTCATCGAAGGTCAACGGTATAGGTGAAGGGGGCGGTTTCTTAATCCATTCAATATGGAGGCGGGCCGTGGAAGACTTCTGTGGGCGCCCGTTGTCCACCGCCTTTATCTACTCATCACAGAGAGAAGACAGAGAGAAGTCTCAGAGCTCTGATCTTTGTGGAGTGTGGATATCTGTCACTTGTGTGTCCCTGGGCCAGAGCTCATGCTCTTCCCAGTGTCAGCAAGGGGAAGAAAAGAGTGGGACCTGGGAAGAGTGGGCCAGGGAACAGAGGAGGCCAACTCCATTCCATAGGGCCTCACACCATGCTCGCCAGATGCTGATCGGGACCACTGCCAACTTTACAGAGATGGCAACCTTGAAAGACCACGTTGCACTATTAAGTGTAGTATTTTGTGGGAATGAATGATAATGACATGAGTGGGAATAGCTAATTTGCTTCCTTATGTCATGACCCTGAACCTCGCTTCTGGGGATGATACTTGAGAGGGAAGAAAGTGCACTGTGAATCCTTATTCATGTATGAACCATGTAACATGCGCGTGTGTATAAGAGTGTGTGCATGGGTGTGTGTGTGTGGTCATCTCTTGCAGCTGCTGCCTTCTGCTCTATACTGGAGAAGCACTCCACTCACACAGGACTGGAAGAGAGCTCCTTGTGTGTTGCTAGGCAGTGTGCAGCTGCTTCACGGTGTCAGAAGGGAAGGAAAGCAAGGAGACCTGCAGAGAATGGGCTGGGGACAAAGGGGAACAAGTTGTAGGGGGACTCAGGCTGAGCTGAAGCTGATCTGGTGGCTTGGGCCCCTCAGCAGGGTGGTTGGGAGAATGTAGCTAATGACTCATCTCTGTGTCTTAAGTCAGTTGACAGAAGGGCTGAGGAAAGCCTGTCTCTCCTTATCCCCCAGATCTGCAGGGTAGACAGTCATGGTGACCTGGACTCAAATGGTAGGGTCAAAAAGTCCAATGAGCAGAAAACAAGATTTAAAAAAAAAGAATTCAAATTTTAAAGGATTTTCAAATATTGCATTAAAAATAGCATTTATGGGCACATTGCTAATAACTATAACCTTTCAAAACACTGACCACTCAGCATCCTCCTGCTGTGTGTTTATGAAAGACTGCTTTGCCCCAGAAAATTCCAGTGGGATAGACAGTCCTTGATACATTTCTGCAGCTAAGTTTCCTAGGAACCGAGACAGGGATTTGAGGACCAGTGGCTTTTGAGGGGTGGGCTCTCAGGAGATATAGAGGGATCAGGAGGGGCAGACGGGAGTGAAACAAGGATGTGGTCCTGGATGTCCTGAGGGTCCCATGGGAAGCTCTGATCCTTATTGCATCACAGAGCTGAGCCTGCCTGGAGGCTAGGGGACTGGACTTTTGTATGTGAATATCAGCAGTCATTGTCTGTGGGTGGGAATGCAGAAGTTCTTGAGCCAAGAATCATCCAGGGATGGCTCTCTAGAGAAGGGGGACAGATGTGAGCCCTTGGCAGCCACCATTCCCAGCGGTCAGGGGACAGAGAAACCAGTCTGGTGAAGGGGATCTGGGAAGGATACAACAGTATTCACTGTAGTCCACCCAACCCTCAACCGTTCCCACACTGTACACTTCCAAGGGTAGAGCTGGAGTTTCTCATCTTCTTTTCTCTACTCACTGTTCTGGATATATACTACTGAGTCCAGCAAGGAACTCAAGTCTAGACCAAGGAAGAAGCTAAACCAAAGGACTTAGCTCATGCTTTACATTTAGAGGGATGACTTTACATAGCAGAGAAGGCTGAGGACGAAGAGGAGGATGGCGAGTGGTGCTGACTATGGACAGATGGGTCCCTGGACTACCCATCACTTTAAGAATTTCTGCACCATTTCTGGAATAAGTGCGACAAGGCTACAGTGGCTGTGGCTGTGGCGGGGAGCACACGAGCATCTCAGATATGGGAGTTAAATTTCTATGGAAGATGGTGCTCATGTCTGCTTTTATTTTTACCTTTCTAACTTAATGAAAATTTAGTCACTTTTTAATTGTGTGTGTGTTTTATTTTAACTTTTTACAGAATAAGCATCTTTGTGATTTTTGTCTTACAACTTACACAGTTAAATTCATGTTCTCTTGCACTGTCAATAATGACCAGTCAATTTATATGGAGACCTTGGGGCAGTGCTAAGAGTTGTGCCGAGTGGTGGGCAGGGTATGCTCCTCTGCTGTTCCCCCACTTTAGTTCACATCTATGTTCAGGAGTTGGAGAGTGACTTAGGGCTGCAGAAAGTATGGATGGGTATGTGGTGGAACAAGCTATAGCCTACATATGGGGGAAATGAGAACAGGACACAACCAAAGGAAATTGTTTAAGGATATCTTCAAACAGGGGTGATCTTCCACAGCTGTGTGGCTTCACTTTTACTCTAAGGTTTATTGCTCAAGAGATATCGGTGAAGAAGAACACAACCACCTCCCCCATCATTGCTGCTGAAGTTCAGAAGATCTTACCGTTAGGATGTCATAACTCCCCGCTGTAAATTGCTTTCTGGAAGAAACCATCCCAGTTTTAGGGTCAATAAAGAACTTTCCATCGTCATTCCCATCCACGATACTGTAGGAGATTTCTGCGTTGGGCCCCTCGTCTCTGTCAAATGCAAAAGCCCTGTAAATGGGTTCTCCCCTCTTCTTTCGATCACGTTCCGGCAGCTTGATCTGGTAGACCTTCTCTGGGAACTGCGGCTTGTTGTCATTTTCATCCAGAACCTGAACCACCACCCAAATGGTTGACTGTTTCGGGGAGGAACCGCCATCTGTCATAGTCACCTGAGTTTTGAAAAAGAAAGTATGACACAATCAGAAAGGAGAAAAACTATTTCTGTTGTTCCTGCCCCAGCCACCTCACAAAGGTGAACTCTGTACACTAGGTCAGCAGTCCCCAATCTTTTTGCCACCAGGGACCGGTTTCATGGAAGACAACTCTTGCATGGACTGGGGGTATGCTGGAGGGGGAGAAGATGTGCAGTCAAACCTCACTGTTAAGTTCATCTGTATTTTCAGCTGCTTCCCAGTGCTAACATTACTGCCTCAGCTCTACCTCAGATCATCAGGCATTAGATTCTTATAAGGAGTATGACCTAGATCCCTCACATGCTCATTTCACAATAGGATTTGTGCTCCTATGAGAATCTAATGCCTTTGCTGGTCTGACAGGAGGCAGAGCTCAGGTGGGAAAGCAGGGTATGGGGGGTGGCATAAATACAGATGAAACTTTGCTTGCTTGCCTGCCACTCATTTCCTGCTGGGTGGCCCAGTTCCTAATAGGTCATGGACCAGTAGAGGTGCATAGCTCAGGGGTTGGGGACCTCTGCATTAGGGCATCTCAACTTTTCTAATTCCTGTAGTTCACATCAAATGTGTATCTTTTCATAGTCTTCATAGTCTCTGTCCTTTTGTGGAAATGTGTATCCTTTCCACAAAAGGACAGAGATGCCCCAAAGCCAGTAGTGGAACTCACTGCTGAAAAGGTAGTAGGGAAGCATGGCTGTCTTAGTCTATTAGTTAGCTATATTAAAATAACATAGATTAAATAACTTTTAAAAACAATTAATCACTCACAGTTCTAGAGGCTGCAAAGTCCAAGATCAAGGCACTGGTGGTGTTAGGCAAGGAACTGTTTCCCGTAAACCAGTGCCTTCTAGCTGTGTCCTCACATGGGGGAAGGGACTCTCTGAAGTTACTTTATATGGATACTAATCCTATTTGTGAGGATAGAGCCCTCACTATCCAGTCACCTCCCAAAGGCCCCACCTTCTAATACCATCACTTTGATTAGGTTTCAACCTATGTATTTTGGGGGGACACAAACATTGAGATCATAGCAAGGGCTTACTGTATTGTGAAGAGGGAGAAGAAATGGGCTCGACTTTACAAAATATGCGAGCTCACATAGATTTAGCGGATCTAAAATATGCCCTTCCCGTAAAGACACAAAATACAGCATAGCTATCATTATACAATAACCCATGGGTGTTTCTTCAGTAAGCAGAGCAGGTTTATTTATTCCCATTTCACAAATGAGAAAACAGAGGCACAGAGGTCCCACTGTTAATAAATGCTAAAGCTAGATACTGAACTTTGGCGATTCCTAATGTTTTGTTTAACCAAAAAACCTGGAAGAATCTATATTTAATCCTCAAATCATTACCTTGATGACAAAAGATTATTACTTAGAAATATATTTTTGGAGGCTGCAAGGAACATAAAGATGCACTTAGCACCAGCAGGAGGAAAAAACAACAGGGCATCAAAGCAGCTGGTCAAGGCTGGGGCAATGACTCACGCCTGTAATCCCAGCACTTTGGGAGATGGAGGCAAGAGAACTGCCTGAGCCCAGGGGTTTGAGACCAGCTTGGGCAATTTGGAGAGTTACAAAAATTAGCTGGGCACCTGTGATTCCAGCTACTTGGAAGTTTGATGTGAAAGGATCACCTGAGCTCAGCAGATCGAGACTGTGGTGGCCATGTTCTTGCCACTGCACTCTAGCCTAGGTGACCGAGTGAGACTCCAATGCAAAGAAAAGAAAAGAAGTAGTTGGTCAGCTATATTTTCACCTATTAAAGCAACCTGATAAGGATAACTGAAAAAGAAGGCAAAAAATGTGAGAAAACAAATGAACGGCTTTTTGGCAAGATGGAATTGCAGTCTAGCTCAGTTTCTCTTACAAGCTACCTAAAAGGATAGCTTTAAAAGACTTGAGATAACTTTTTCACAGGCGTTCTTTGAAAAAACCAATCAAATTTCCTTCTAAGGTTATTTTCCCCATTGGTTTGTTGTGTTTCCCAAAGGAACCACATCAGGGCCAGTGTGTGTCAAGGGTGGATTTGATGAGAGCTAGTTCTGGGACACACCAAGTTCTTAAGGCATGTTCTGCTGCTGCTGAACTCAAACGTGATGCTCCCAGGTGAGCTGTGTTGACCAAAGTACATCAATTTCCAGGCTGTTCGATGACTCTGCCTTGCTTTTTTTCTCGAGCAGTTCCTTTCTAAACTCAGGCAACTCTCAAGTCTTTGTGAACAGGTCTCCTCCTCAGTGCTTGTCAATAAACACCCCGCACTGGGCTCTAAAGTGGTGTCCTGGACAAGCTTCTGGCCAGTGGCTGCCAAGGAAAGGAGCCCCTGTGGTGGAAGGCCACTGTTCCCTGAAGGATCCTGCTGCTGCATAGATGCTGTCTTTGGGATAGACCTTGACTACAAACCCAGCCCTGGAGGTGTCTACCTGCGGAGTTTAGGAGAGTGTTATGGTGAGCATGGTCACTTATACCACCTCCCCTCAAGCACCAGCTCCCTCAGGCCACAAGAACACCCTTCAGATTCTCAAGCAACTCTTCCCTGGAGTGCTTTGCCTGTTCCTTCCCAGGCGCTGCTTACTCATCCTTCAGATCCAGCTGAAATGTTCCCTCCTCAGGGCAACCTTCTATGACCCCACAGAACAGTTGCCAGCTGCCCTGCTTCCTCATTATGTGCTCTCAAGTCACCCTGTGCTTTTCTTTGTAGCACTTACCATGGTAGAGAGTGATCAGATGGGCAACTTTCCACCTTGATGAGTGGATAAGCTGAATGAGGGCCAGGACAGCCCGTGCCTGTTTCTGGTCACTGCTCTCCCCATGGCAAGCACAGCGCATGCCCCACACATGCTGGCATGATGAGCTGGGTCCATTCAGGCCTCCTCAGACAGCCTCTTCAGCCAGAGCAGTCTCACCTTGCAGACCTTCGGAGGTCGCTCAAGTCCCTTGATGGCGAAGCCCCTTTCCTGTCTCTCTGCCAGTTACTCCTCCATCTCTTTGCCCATGGTTTCAATGAATACCTACATGCTGATTCTTCTCCATTGTGTATCTCTTGTGCCTAAGCCCATTTGCTGACCACCAAACCAACATGTTCAACACTTTACTAGAAATCTACTTTGCAGATCTCTCACCTGCACACCCAGCACCCCAAAATCACAATTAAAATCATTACCCTCAAGCCTCTTCCTCCCACATCCGTTGTCTCAATGAATGACACCCCCACCTACCCACACACTGGTGCACACCAGTGTCCTGGGCATCCATCTAGAGTCCCTCTCTAACTCCCTAAATCCAATCAAACTTGGAGCCCAGCACGTATCTCATGTGTGCCCTCTGCCCCTGCCTGCTAGTCTCTTCTGCCACACGCCATGGTACAGGCCTCATTTATATCTCACTTGGATGGCCACAGTAGCCTCCTGGCCTTCCTGCCTCCAGCCTTTGTCTTTGCTGTGGAATGTCATTTTGTCTTAAAAAATCTGATCATGTCTCTGGCCTGCATAACATTCCTCAGGGACTCCTTGAGGACAAGGATCTGGCGAGATTCTCTCTGGGTCTTGCCAGCCTTGATGATCAGTATGCACTACCCACCCTTTCTCAACTCCATTCTCAGTGACATGGTGATCTCAGGAAGTCCCAAGTCATGCTTTTATACCTCCATTCCTTTGCACAGCCATTTGTCTCCATGGAATGCCTTCTCCTGAGATCACACCCAACTAATTCTAGAAGTCTCAGTTCAAACATTGCTGTGAAGCCATTCCCTGCCTCCCATTCCACTATATGCAAGTTCCAGGACATGAATTCTCATCTTGCATTTTTAGTGTCTCTTTTCTTTTTGGTCTCCATTCAGTCCTTCCAGAGTGAGACACCTGAGCTCAAGAACAGTCTCGTATTTATTGTTATGTTCTGGTAAAGAAATGTTGAGAGAAATCAAGAATTTATTTGCCTAAAACTCTTTCCTATGATAATAAATGAAGAGAACAGTCAGACACTGAAGGGTTTCTGGAGGAAATGAACATACGACCTCCCAGGGCTTCTAGCTCTGTGATTCTACAAATGGGCGTCAGGTAGAGGCAGACAGTTTTAAACATGGGGTTTAGCCACTCTAGGGTTTAAACCCAATATACATCACCAAGAATATTACCAGTCTCAAGATTACACGTCATAACTTTAAGCCACTTCTCAGACTGTGCTCACCTTTGTGGACCTTTATCCACAGTCTATGGAAATCATGTATTCACCTGTCTGCTTCCTTCAGAACACTATAAGCTACTCAAAAGCAGGCACCTTGTGTTGTTCAGTTCTTTCCTGAAACCCAGTACACTCTCGATAAATATGTGCTGAACTCAACGACATTGCTAACCTCTAAGTCTTAATTTCTATGGTTGTTTCTCTTGACCCATTTGTCTGCCCTGCCATGTTTGTGCCTGCAGTATAAATCACTGATTTCCATCAGATTCTCAGAACATTATCCTTCACAGTGCCTTAGGCCTCAACCCACCCCTTGGAATTAGTCCATATGGAAGGAGAAACAGCACTGGAGATCGAAGCAAAACTAACTGAGATAAATTCCCATCACCACCTCATTTTTCATTAATGATGCAAGACACGAGCCGTTGTTTAGAAGTGATCCATGTGTACTCCTGCTCTGCCACAAGCTGGCAGAACAATAGAGAGCCGTCCCAACCTAGATTTTCTGCTCTCATCACCAATCGATAATCAGTGGTTCTGGCAATTAATCAAAAACCTGGAAGATTAATTTCTTTAGGTGCCAACAGCTACCACCTAATGAAAGGAGTCATGAACAGTCCAGTGGTCTGTGAATGCCAGGCAGAGCCAGAAGGTAGTACAATCACAGTCTTTCAGTCTATTCCTGGAAGATGCAAGCTCTAAGGACCAAAACGGATGGACATGGATAATTCTGGAGTTATGGCAGCTGTGGAAGACTGTGTCTCATGCACTGAAATCACCTGATGTACTTGTT